GTCAGAAAACAACTCGTGGGTTTGACTTCTCTCCTACTATGCGGGTTCCAGGGAACAATCTCAGATTTTCAGCCTTGGTGGGAAGCACCTTTACCCTCTGAACCATCTCATAAGCACTAATGTACATCTTAAACAAAATTTCTTAAGTCTTCTCTCTGACCTTTTCCCATATATAGAACAGTGGGTAAAGTACTTGGACAAATGTGAAGGCCTAAGTTTGGATCCCCAGCACTCACTTAAAGAATTGGACCTAAGCCAGCTGTTCCTATTACTCATCTGTCTTGTGGCAACAGAGGTAGGGGAGAAGTGCTCTCCACCCATCAATGTCAGAGGCAGGTGGGAAAGATGGCTCTGTGGTCACAAGAGTGGGACAGCCATCCCTGACACCTACCAGTTACAACACTTAGGATAACAGGCCCTGTACCTTGCCAGGGCAGCACAACAGAGTCAACATGGTTAGCTCAGATGGAGGTGAGCTATCCCTGAAATTGTGACCATGGGAGAGATGTCCCAATTTCCCATCTGGCAGACTGACCTTATATCTTCTCAGGCCCAGATCCAGGGTTATGACTTGACCAGCCCCAACATCCATTCCATTTATGATCTGTTGGAGCACATGAAGAGACCCTACCTGCAGAACCGAAGCTCCAGAACACAGGGCACCAGTGGAATCTCTAGGAAGAGGCCTAGTGGATGCCCAGCATCTAAAGTGTAGTGGAAACCAGAGGCCTCGAACCAGACCAATGACTCTTTGCAATGAACACTTGCAGATAGAGATGTGTGTACTAAAGGTTATATGGTGTGACTTATTGAGTCACATTGCAGCTTTCATGACAAAATTTTTAATTCCTTCCCCATTTTTACTTATTTTGTTTCCTTCATTTATTATCTTGAATTTTTTTAATTCAGTGGGGATGGCAGGGGTGAAGGGCAGAAACAATAGGAAAAGGAATGAATGGGATCAAAAGTATGTGATGTGAAAAACACATGGAATAAATAAATTTTATATTTAAAAATTTGGGCCCATTGTATCCTAACTGTAATTCCATCACTGGGGATGGAGACAGAGACAGACAGATCCCAGCAGCTTTCTAAATGGTCAGTGTAGCTGAAACAGCAAGCCCCAGATTCCAAGATGGGAATCATTTCAAAAAAGGTGAAGAGCCTTAGAGAAGACACCCAAACTCTACCTCTGGCTTCGTCATGTACACACTTAGATGAGCACACACTTAGACACACACATACATATGCATCATATACAAATCCTACCATGTTTAGCAAGACTGAGTTTGAAAGAAAAATTAGTATAGTATTGACAAAACTAATAATATCAGATATATTCATGACCAACTAAAATTAGATACTTTTTGAAAATCTTAAAAATAAAACTTTGAAACTCTGAATTTTTCTCTGTGTGCTGGAAATGATATTAAGATCCAACATTACTCTTCAATGATCCTACACTTTTCATATAAACTAGACAGAAACTGTTGTTGGATCCAAGTTCTCCAGCCTAAAAGTCACTGGAAGTTGAGTGACAGTGAGATGCATTAGGATGGAGATAGCTTATGTTTGATCTAACATAAAGTACATAACTTTATCAGAATGAGGAATGACAGCCATATTGGCTTGGTGTGGGAGAACTGTCTGTATTCTGTCAATCATGTTTTAAATAAATGCTAATTGGCCAGGCAGGAAGTACAGGTGGGTCAACCAGACAGGAAGTAGAGGCGGGGCAATGAGAACAGGAGTATTCTGGGAAGCAGGAAGCTCCCTTCGTATTTCTGCCCAGACCACCAAGAAGCAAGATGCAACCTGCCAGCTGAGAAAGGTACTGAGCCTTGTGGCTAACATAGATAAGAATAATGGGTTAATATAAGTTACCAGAGCTAATGAGAATCCTGAGCTAATGGACCAATCAGTTTATAATCTTAGGGAGACCTCTGTGTGATTTTCTCTGGGACTAAATGGCTGGGGGACTGGACGGGACAGAAACCCCAACAAGCAGGTCCCTTCATGTTACATTGGCTAATCCACAAAAAAGAATTATGTCATTCGACAGTAATGGAATAAGCCACCTAGTTAATTAGCAACAAACTGGAGAGATTGCTCTGGAAGTTTTTCAGGAGAGAAAGTTTCTCTGGTACTGGTACTCTCATTCCAAAGCAAAAAACCAATATCCCTTACCACCTTAGGTAAACAAAATTTCACTTTTTTCTTTTATTTTTGAGATTATAAATACATCATTTCTCCCTTCATTTTTCCGTCCTCCAAACCCTGCCATACACCTCTCCTTGTTCTCTTTGAAATTCATGCTTTTTTCACTAACTATTGTTCCATGAATATAGTTATACATATATTCATAAATATACCCTTATCGGTCTGTATAATGTTACCATATGTACATTTTAGAGGTGTTCATTTGGTAAGGCAACATTGCAGGAGAGGGGGCGGAAAGATTAGAAGAGTCAGAGAACTGGGGACTTTGCTATGAGATTGTGCCTCCTAGTAATGTCAGAAGCTACTCCCCTAAGCTCTCATCAACATGACCACATAAAGATGAGCTAAACAAGAACAGCAGACATGGTAAAGTGGATGGGGGAAGAGCACACTTATTGGTTATTCAGTTGTTTGTATTTCTTACATTTTACATGCCAGAACATAATCCATCCGAACACCAAAAGACAGAGAAACCAAGATGTTGGTGGGGGAAAATTGTAACTCCTATAATTTTCATGGCCACCATAAATTGGTGGGAACTCTTCTGGTATTTCTTCCACCTGTGAACAACAGACATGTCATAACCTTTTAAGATGAAAAATGTTTGTCTTTATGTATTATTTTATTCTTATAACAATCCTGAAGATATCATCTTCCCCATTTTATAGCAATGCAATTCATGTCTACCAGTGTCAAACATTCACTCAAACTAATGCCAGTACAACAGCATACATCTGATAGCAAGGCATTCTCTCACTTTAGGTCACTGCCAACACAGGACTAATATCCTCCACGGTGACTTGTCCATTCACTTCCCTGATGAGCTTGCCTTTTCCATGAGTTGGCATAGAACACTAGAGAACTTAGCCATGAAAAATGTTAACCTTTCCCTAAGCTCAGTTTCTTCTTCCAGTACCTGACCTTATATTCAGAGAAGATAGGGACAATAGATTTCACATTATACAGCTCTCTGAGGTACAAAACTATCAGCTGGATGCCTCCTTTCCTTGAGTGGAAGCTATTGACACAGAGTAAATACATATCCCTATGGTGAACTGTTCTCCACTGGAAATTGAATTGACCCTCTCTGTTTTATTTCAAACTAGCACCAACGCTTATTTAGTGTGAATAGTTAAGGACACATGTTACGTTACATTTTCAATTCTTCTTGGTTCATGGAGCATCAGTACATTTACCATGCCTTAACCACACTCTCAAATGCCACGTGAATGAAAAATGGGCAAGAAAAAAAAAATGCTACCACTACTACAAGCATTCCCCAAAAATCTATTATTTTGTATGGTTTATTTTCCTCTGTTTCACACAATAATGTGTCAAAACTCTGAATTTCATTTGGAGAGAAAGATGGATTGATTTTGTTAACTAGTGTCTGGAAGAAGACTTGAGCTGTCGGGAACAAAGTGCCATTCTCCATCACCAGAAGAGCTAATCAGGGAAGCACAGGCAGCTAATGTGAGCAGCAAGCACATTCATCTCAGGCTGGATCCCAGGCTGTTATTAGGTGTGACTAATCACATCTATGTGAGTCATCTCAGTCTGTAATAACATGCCCCTCGGTGACATCAGTGTTTACAGGAGATGGATGTCACATGACCTGTGTAGAACACAGCAACAGTTTGCAGTGCCTGTAACCTGTTTCTCTACCACAGCACATCTGTCCCCACAAGTCTCTTATAGGAAATTTCAGGGATACTGCATTTGCCTGGGGCCATCCACTGGTTCCAGAAAGCCCACCAGTGTCCATAACCTCAAACAGAACGATTCTCCCTCCTCCTGTAACAATCAGCTGCCAAATTTGTGTGTGTTGGGGCCTGGAGAGCACTTCCCCCATCTAGGCAGAACTTTTGGTTGGTTTCTTCTTCTGTGGGTAACACAGATGCTGCAAGGTCCTGAGACAGCATTAAGTTGAGTACTGTGTGCACACTGCATGTGTGTCCGTAAACTCTGGTTTTCCACTCAGTTATCCTCCGACAGGTAATTAGAAGAATAGAAATAGCAAACAGACAGCAGTAGTCAGAAGCTCAGTATCAGCCCTGACATAGACCCTCCGTCTTTTGTTCCCGGGAAAGAATCTCCTACCTTCATACTAGGAAGCTGAACTCCTTAGGGTCACTTTTTACTTTAAAATTTCATGGCATAAAAAATGCCCTTCAAAAGCACTTTTGGTATACCGTCTCTTCTAAGCTACAAATTGTTTAAGAGGCAAGAGCAGGGTATAGATTTTTAAGACATTTCTAAGTTTTAAATCTTAAGGCATAACTTAGAGCATTTTAAATTTTAAAGAGCAAGTGTTTATAAGCATGCGAAATGACAGAAAAGACCAATAAAACGTGTTTCTCGAGAGCACAAGGTGAAGGTTCCTACCACACTTCTAGCACAGGGTATTTATTTGCTTGGGAAACTAGAATGGACTCATAGTTTTCTGGTTGATAAAACAGAAGTAAAACAATGGGCTGTACTTCCATTGTCTAATTTGCAAAGAGAATACATAGTGGAGATTTTTGTAGAAAGAATAATTTCATGTAAACAAATATTGCTAGTTTAACTACCACTTTAAAGTTATTTGAAATATATTTACAGTGTACTGTTATATACTAGAGAAATGCCATCTGATAAAAGTCATTTTGCATGAGCTCTTTGTGTATCTGTCTGTTGAGACACTGAGGCATTCAGTAAACCTACGTGATGCTCTTTTGTCTCCTTGTGGTGATGAAAAGTTGGCCTTTTCTTTAATCAGTATTCCTGATTTTATTTTTCAGAATGAAAAGTCCCCAGGGCGATCTGCAAGTCGATCAAGTAACATATCAAAAGTAGGTGAAAGCTCTCCATGTTCTTGTTTATTGATTTCTGCGTTTTATGGGTTCAATTAATATTGATAATGTTTAGCCTATAATTGTTATGTATGAGAAACACTCAACTATGGTTTGCTTATGATTTCAACTATTCCATACTTTTACTGCTGGAAACATCACACCTTCATGCCATCAGCTATGTTGTTTTCTGCTTTGCTGTCAATACAGAAGGTCATTTTCTACTTTCAGAGTTGCACTGGGTTCTGTGATTCCTTGTCCCTCCACTTCACACACTCTAGGGACAACACACACTCAAATCACAGCTATTAGCAATCGTGGCACTGTTCCTGTGGATTTAAAATGTCAGGATTTAGTGCCAACCTCACTGAAACATGTACATTTTTATCTAGATAACTTTTAGAAATCAGTTTCATAAAAACTTTAGTTTGACCGTATTTTGGTTACCGAATCAATGTATACAAATCAAAATACTCCATAGGACTTTAAGTCCAAGACATAAAATTATTATGAATCTGTACAAATATTCTAGAATTTTTACTAATATGAAAAGAATTCATGAACTGTTCTTTAATAGAGGGTGCCATGTAATGGACAGATATGGGGTACCATGTGATTGGCAGGTATGTGGTACCATGTAATGAGCAGATATGTAGCATCACGTTATGAGTAGATATGGCGCTTGGGAAGTAAAATGTAATATACCGCCATTTTTCTTTTTTGATGTAGCAGTTTAGTTTTTAAAAGTACAAACTATATTTATATTAAAAATTAAAATGTCAAGAATAGAGAATAACATGGGGTCCAAAATACCAACGTAAGAGATAGTCAACACATCTTTCCACCTCACTGGTTCTGATTGCAGCAAGCTTGACCCTAACAGCCCTTCCAAAGCTGCACCGAGAAGTCATGATAACTATGCTTTAACCTTTCCTCTGCAAAAGCCAAGCCACGAGTGTTGGCTCCCACCTGTACCTCCAGCACAGGGGAGGCTGAGGCACGAGACCTGTCATGAGTTTGAATGAGTTTGAGGACCACGGAGTGACATTTTATCTCAGTAAAGCAAACACTACAATAGTGGCCTCGGTGTCGTCTGCTACAGCACTCCTGTGTGAGGCTGACCAGGCTGGAATGCGGTGCCGTTCTGAGCGGTCTCTGGAGCAATGTCTGGACATTAATACCGGAAGCTGTGCTTTGTCTGGATATCATCGAGAATCTGCTGCAGTTCCTCATCTTCAGAAATGCCCTTCCAGGCTTGGAATCAGAGCTTTGGATGTCTCTGCAGTCTCTGGGCAAAGACTAGCTAAATAGGCCAATAATACAAACTTACGTGGCCTTTTCCGGGAACCAAGCTACAAACACTGGCAGTGGTCTGCCTGTTTTTGAAATGACTGAACCGGACTGTAGAGTTTAGGGTTTTCATGAAAACCTCTGAAAGTTCCTGCTCCTTCTGCACTCTCATTCTGTTGCTTTCGATGCTCCAGAAGCACGTGAACTTCAGAATTTGGGAGTGTCTGTTCTAAACTCCAGAGTGTGGCCGTTCTCTTCAGCTGATTTCCTAAGCACAAACGTAGAGGTAGATGACTGTGCACACGTACTGGGTGCTTCCAGACCTTGAATACACACATTTTTATTTGTTTCTCTGTATGGAGGACCTCTGTTGCAATGCAACCACCTATCTAGGATGCCTGGACTCAAAGCTGAGGTAGCTGGAGAGAATTAAGCAGAGACCTGTGTTGGTGTGTCCATGCTCTGAGAGTTAGTAAAGCCACGGTGCAGTTGAGTGATGGGGGGAATGACCTTGAAGGGTATTTCTGGAGCACACAGTTCTCCCACTATGGTGGGTTTGTTGTTGTTGTTGTTGTTGTTTTTGTTTTCTGATCAAGCTGCAAATTTTATTTTTTCTCATGAGCTGTTATATAGCAAACAGCCAGGGGGAGGGCAGGGTGCCAGAAAAGTCTGGTTTGCTGGAATTCAGGTCTGGAAGGTCTCTGGCTAAGAGAAAGAAATGTTAACTAACAAAGGAAATGCTAATTGCTTCTAAAGCCTGTAGCCTGCAGGTCTTGCAGACAAGATCCTAGGTTAATTTCCTAGGCCCAGAACCTACCCTGCAGAGGTGATAGAGGTGAATATTTTACTTAACTTGTGAACTTAAGAAGGCATAAACAAAATACAGGTCTCAAAATACAGGTCTCAAAATACAGGTCTCAAAATACAGGTCTTTGCTTCCAGCACCCATAAACTTCTATGTCTACAGCCAACTATTGAAGCATGGGCAACCTTCAAGGAGCCAAAATCCTACAGAAATCTGATTTTCTCTTCTCCAGAAACCATCAGTTTCCCATGGCATCTATATTTTTTTAAATTTTTATTTATTAAAATTTTCTACCTCCTCCCCTCCTCCCATTTCCCTCCCACTCTCCCCACTCCCTCTCCTCCTCCCTCTCCAGTCCTAAGATAAGTCAGTTTCCCCAGCCCTGCGGGAAGTTCAAGGCCCTCCCTCCTCCATCCAGGCTTAGGAAAGTGTGGATCCAAACAGACTAGGCTCCCTAAAAGCCAGTCCATGCAGTAGAATCAAAACCCAGTGCCATTATCATTGGCTTCTCAGTCAGCTCCATTGTCAGCCACATTCAGAGAATCCGGTCTGATCACATGCTCGTTCAGTCCCAGTCCAGCTGGCCTTGGTGAGCTCCCATTAGATCAGTCATACCCTCTCAGTGGGTGGATGCACCCCTCGAGGTTCTGACCTCTCTCCTTCTGCTCTTCATCTGGACCTTGGGAGCTTCCTGCCCCACCAGAAATCTAAAAGCAATGGAAGTTTCCAGTCATTGATTTCAGACTCCAAAATTGTGATCCAGAACAATCTTTCCTCTTGAAAACAGTATTGCCTCTGGTATTTATTACAGTAATGAAAATTTGATGGAGCATCACTAAACATTTTGAATTACATTCAAATCAGAGTTCCTCCAGAGATATTTGAGAAGGGATGAGCCCTTCTGGTTGAGAATACTTCGGAAGGTGGGATCTTAAATTAAAGTCTGTTAAATTCTGTTGTTTCCTGAGGCAATCACCTAAACTCCCTAAGACATTTACTCTCCCACAATAAAACTAGCACCTGAAAGATTCTTTCATTTAGTTTTATATTAGCATATCATCTAAGTGCCTGTCATCCGAGTCTCCTAGGAGAAAGCTTTCCCAGAGCTCTGAAATAGTGGCGTCTTTCTGAATAGGTTACTGTTAGTCACAAGACTGGGAGCTCTGTTATCACACCAACCTGTCAGCATCGAGGAGCTCAAGTATATCCTTTCCAAACTGCTGTTTGAGAAGTGCAGTGTGTTCCGTTTTCAGCCCTTTAGCTAACTCTTTTAGAAAGCGTAGAAAATCCCAAGTGTGTCCCTTTCCACGTCTGACTTCTTCTTAAAGATTCTCTGACATTCTGTTTGGAGATGAATGAAAATCTTTTCTCTGTTTCCTTAGTTGTGACACAGAAAAGTTTCAACTACCAAACCCTGGTAGATTTCCATGAACCTAAATCTCTGAACCCAATACAACTCTCCCTATATTTGTGCCAGAATGATAGACAAAAATGATAAATACGTTACCGGGTCCTCACTACTCTTGTGAATTACTAAATGACAAATTCTTCAATGGGCGTGTAGACTACTGGGTATGAAATGACCGAACCTATAAATATTTGAATTCTTTCATTTTCAGGTGTTAGAGAAGAAAATATCAAAAGTGGAACAAAACTTTTATCCTTTAAGATTGACAAGATAATTTTTTGTAAAACTGCTGTAGTTTTCAAGGGTACTGGACTCGGTATAATGGCGTCATAAAGAACATGGATAGCAGAGCACCTGCTAAGAAGTGTTTTTGAATTTCCTTTATTGCCTTATTTATAGAGTGAGAAAAAAAATATATATTCAGTTCATGTGCGCTCGTGTGTGTGTGTGTTTAAGTTTCTTGAAAACAGTTAAGCCATGTGTACGTATCTCTAGCTATGGAGCTCCAAAGATTTAGGCCTAAATGGCAGCTCATACCACCTAGGCATCTCTCTTTGCACAAATGAATTTGAGACTATAATGTATATACTCTTCTTTTAGTTAAACCAGAATAAATTAGACAGTGATAAGGTTAAGAAAGACATTAGAAAATATGGCATAGTCTTGTTCTCCCAAGTGTTTTCTATTAAAGTATAATAAATGCTTTTAGATAAGCATTAGTGTGACTCACACTGGCTGTCTTCTCTACCTTTTGCTAGTTTGTGCTAAACTCTATCCATTGATACAGGACTCTTTCAGGTTGTGGTAAGAGAATAGCACAACTTTCCTGTGTCCTTAGGTCTGCTCTCCTACCTGAGTCTCCTTATTCCTTACTGAATGAACAGACCTTCCAATTAACAGCTCTTAGTGCGTGTTTTTCTTGTTCTGTGATGGAACAATGAAGCAATTAAAATGTATACTGAATCTTTAGTGAGCTCAAAAAACAGAATTGAGGGAGAATATATGATATCGTTGTGCACCTGAGCATAAAATATGTGTACAATATATGTGCACACACATAGAATGTATGCAATGCGCATACTCTGCATATATGTGTGTGTATGTATATTGTATACATTATACATATATAAGATATACACTCTAAAATAGCATGTGCCCAAAATAGTTAACAGACATGAAAATTCAAAAGGCCACTGGCAGGTTTGGTTGCTGTTGGCATCCGAACACTTGGACTTCCGAGTTAGTGTGTGGTCTTACTCATGATTTCACCAATTCATTGGGCTGGAACTGCAAACCATGTGGTTTAGCGTCAGCACATGCTTTCTTTCAGGGAGGCTGAATTATTTGCATGAGTGAGGCAAATGAATGACCAGAGGACCAGTCCTGGCAAAACCCTAGACCAGGAGTCTCTAGTGACTTTCCCTGAAGACAAAGCTGCACAGTTGCCAGTGTCACCTCTGTTTCGGGGATAACGTATTTCTTGGGGAGGTGTGTTCT